CTTCCGTAATGAACAAAATAATATAGCATCCCCAGTACATTTTGATTCGGATTTTCTCCACCGTAGGTGTCGTAAAACAAGGAGACCTCCGTAATGTAATTAGGTAAGGCATTTAGATATGAAAATAAGCATGTTGCAATTCCTAAGCTACCTTTTGCTTCATTATTTCAGTCAAAGAGTAACAGAATGCATTATTCGGTGGAGCACCTTCATAAATTGTCAGATTATAACCACACAATTTCCTACTATAATACATTGGTGATACGTCACTGCTTGGTATTTGCAGTACGCTTTGGAGATCAAATATCACTGTAATGCAATGCGACTTATCTGTTGCTCTTTGTTTGTCAACCTGTTTTGGAGTATTTGCAGCAGCTTCTAGCATCATTAGGATGCTATCAGTTTCGGAAAAATAAACATTGGTCTATTGCTAGACGGACGTAGTATCCTAGAAAAGTTAACGTGTCGACTGGAATTCTAGGAGATCAGGTTTTTGGTCTATTTTTTATTGGACATTGTATTGCTTAAATTCTCTCAATGCCTTAAATATTTTTCGGTCTATTAATCAAGGAAGATCAGACTTATTGTTTGGTAATTGCTGCCTGTCATTTCACAGTGTTTCTTTAGGGTTGGAATAAAAGCCGAATAATTAATGAGTCTGTAATATGACAGTATTATAAATTGTGTTACAGATTATGTAGTGCTTTATTGCCCTTTTCTCTCATTAACTGCAGTGTTTCGACACTCACTCATTTCTGATAATAATGGACCTGTTCTATAAATCAATGTATATTTTAAAAGGGGATATAAAGACTTCTTTTTTGTTTTTGTAAGTGGTATCTTTAAAATTTTATTAAAATTATCAAAGGGTTACTTAACATCAAAACGTTTTCATCGTTCAAACGTTCGGTATTATCAAATTATTATCAGTGACATACGAAAGTAAGTAATTCCACATTATTTAAAACAAAAATGGGATGAAATTTTGACTATTACTAAAAACATACGGTAGTACTATTTACTTAAATAATATGCAAAAGGCCACTTATTACTAGGTACGAAAACCTCTAGTTTACATCTTTCTTCTTTATGTGCCATGTTTGATTGTCGTGCGTTGACTATCCAATTAGCGGTACTAGTTTTTTTGACGGCAGCTCGTAAAAGAGAGATACAGATGATATGTTTAACCGTTGATTGAATAACCCAATTTGGGTTATTCAATCAACGGTTTAACCCATTCCGTCAGGTTTTCAAGCCATGATGTTCTTTTTCAACCTAGCCCGCTTCTTCCGTCTATTTTGCCTTTCATTATTAAATAAAATATATATCTCTCTGTATAAAGCATAACATGTACAAAAGATAACTCAGTTTTCCATTTTTAACTGTGCTGGCCACTTCCGTAACTTTTCTCATCCGCTATCTTTCTCTACCAACTTATTCGTAGGATTATCAAATAAACACAGGTTTTAAAGGCTTCCAATTTTCTGAGAAGTGTAACTGTTAAAGTTTAACCTTCGATACCATATAAAAGAATAAAGATCACATAATATGTTACTAATTTAATTTTCAGACTCAAACTGATATTGTTTCCACATAAGATTTTCTTCATCTTAATAAATGCAGCTCTATATTTCTCTATATGTATTCTAATTTTCATGCTCATATTCCAGTTCTCATTTAGATTACACCAATGTAAGTGATACTGTTGGTTCTTTTCGGCTGGTTTCCATAAGCCCTTAGCACTTCTGTTTTTTTTTATCTGAGGGTGGAAATTTCTAAAAAACCTTACCAGCTGGCATGTGTTGGATTTGGGGTAGGGTAGTATATCCGAGCACTTTTCCTTGTAGAAGGAAGAGGCCCTGCAAACAGATGCCTTTCTGTTATCCTGCCTACCAACTAAAACCATCCTCTCCAACTTGTGCGCAGTTGTCTGTCGCACGTACCGTACTCCGAAAGTGGGATGGCCGCTGTAAGGCTAACGACACTTTTGAAACATTCCCTTCTCTTATTTTTATCTTATTTCTATCGTTGGTCTGTCTGTTTCTCTTCTTCTTTCCTTTTGATTACTGTTGGAATGTAATTATGTACATCCATCCCCTTCTATCCATACTTTCAACCCTCGTACTTCCCGACTTCTTCACGATCACCTCTCTCAGTAACAAAGTTTATACCTACTTCTCTATACAGTCTATTTCTCTCCATTATCCTTCTGTTACGCTCCAGCATTGCGTGAGTAACAGTATCAGAGTATTCACAGTATAGGCATTTATCTGTATCTGTTTTTCTGAATTTAGGAAGATATATTTTAAAACAGCCATGTCCTGTGAGCACTTGCGTCAGGTAGTAATTCAGTCGCCTGTGACCACAATCCACTCAGTCCCTTAGGACGCTAATCAGCTAATCAGCAAATACGACCACCTTAGGATGCTGATCCCTAGACTCGGGATCAGCATCTTGGTCCACTGAGCAACATATTCCGTGTTGTTCCACCCTTCTTGCTATCTTTCTATTGATCTTTTTTTTTCTTCTTTTTATGGCTGCTGTCAAATATTCTCTTCTCTCATAGATATATCTCCTTTCTACTGCTGGCTGCTGTGAAATATTCTCTTCTCTCATAGAGATGTCTCCTTTCTACTGCTAACACATGCAGAGGATCACAACTTATGATATTCCACAAGGTCGCCGCGGATACAGTCCTGTAGGTGCATGCTACTCGCAAGAGACTTGTTCTGTCTACTCGTATCATGAGCCCTTTGTAAGTCAGTACCTCTATCGCCAACTGGGTCATATCAGAGCTACTAGCCAACTATTTTATTATACATTATTCAAAAAGTTTAATCAGAATCAAATAAATTTAAAAAGAATAATGTTTTTCTATGTGTTTTCTCTTTTATTATTGTAATTTTTTTATAGCAGCGTTTATTTTCTTCTTCAAAAAATATTTCTACCCAAATAGTGTGATTTATTGGCATCTCTACGCTCAGGTAGTTTTCACAACTTCACTCGAGTTTCTTTGGTTATACATATTATGTAGTCTATTTGGTTAGAGATCATTCGTTCAGATGTAGTTGCTGCTAGATGACCAATTGCTTTCCTAAATAGAATGACGGCAACATAATCTTTGTCCTAGATTTTTATTTTTTGTAAATCAATTAAAAGTATTATTTAAATTAATTAAAATATTAGTATTAAAAACTACTTTATTACTATTAGGTTTGTTCTAGCAAACAGACAAACTAGTCAGAAACCGTCAGCAAACAGTTGGTCAGCCAGAGAAAATAATACAGTCACCAGTGCTATATCCCCTCTACTCGCACTGGTCCACTATTCGCTGATGGTTTCAAACCATTTGAAACTGATGCTAGAACAAACCTATTATTAACATTTTATTATTTCTTAGAACCATCTTGATTTTTTTCATCAATTTTCATTTCAAGAACTTTCTTATTGTCATTATAAATAATATACCTTATACAGTGCATTCATAAAGTGTGGAAACGGTATATTATCTAATGACTTAATTATTTTTAGAGATAAAGCTCTACCAGGTTGATTTTGATTTTTGTTCTTTAACCTTTTTGGGAAAAAAATATATTTTACCCCCACTACCTTAGCAGATGTGACTTCATCGATATTTTTTTTATGAAAAATGCATATTTTTATCTAAAAAACTAAAAGCCCATATTTTTCTAAGTAGAACCGTACCAAACTCATCATATTCAAACTTCAGTATACAAAGTGTATAGGAAACCAGAGCTCGTATTTCTTAAAATTTAATTCAAAATTTATTTTACAAAGAAAAAACCCAGATGGTCGTATCTATGGATACGACCGTATCCATAGGTCCAAATGGAACAACGTAGGTTTGCAACATCTCAGAATACATAATACCCGTCACAGTTCCGTCAAAAAAATACGATCCTACAATGATATTCCTAACAATCCCAGCTCATACATTTACGTTTTAGGGATATTTTGCCTAAACTTCCATTATACAATTGGGATTTGTTGTTGTCCAATATGCAATGTGTTAAACAAAATGTTGTGCAAAATTGCATGTTATGAACAGCACCATGATAGATCTCATTGTCATTTTGTAAAGTTGTAATTGAATAATGAGGATTTTCTTTAAATATTTCTTAAAAAGATACTACTGCAGATTACTAAATCGATATGGCACAACAAATCAATTAATGTTGACATTAAATGGTAACTACAAACTTACTCTCTGCTCGTTAAGAAATTTGGCATGTCTACACACCCTACTTGATTTTTGGTAATATACTAAGTACAGTCGTTAACACTTTCTTTATTGTATTGTTGATCCACAGCTCATTACAAAGCCATTATCATTTGAATGGAATTGATTATCTTTTATAGATAAACAATCTACCTTCTGTATCTTACAACAATAGGCCACTATATTCGAGCATTTGTTGTAATTATGTTATTTGTTGTTTATGTTTAATATGAAATGACCTCTTTAATAATTTTCTTCAACTAAAATTTAAGGAATATGAGCCTGGTTTCCTTTACACTCTGTATACTAAAGTTTGAATGTGATGAGTTTGGTACGGCTGTACTCAGAAAAATGTGGGCTTTTAATTTTGTAGATAAAAAATTCTCTTTCTATTTAAAAAATTATCGATGACGTCTCATCTGGTAAAATAGTGGGGGTAAAAGTTTTCCGATATACCGTTTCCACACTTTATGAACACACTGTATAGGACAATATAACCACGTCATTTGTTGTAATTTAAATGCCTATGTAAAAAGTAAGTAAATCTTTTGGACTTTCTAAAATTCATATTATCAAACACTGGTAAAATTATATCTTTACCAATTTACATACGTATGCTTTATAAATGCATTCAAAAATTGTTTTAGCATAAGTAATTATATTAACTTGTAGGCTTTTATCGACTTTAATTTATAATGAACATTTTAAAACATTTTGAAACTGTTTAATTTTTTTTAATATTCTCATTTTCCCGTTTTAGGTATCATGATAATCTTCTACCTATCCCATATATACAACGTATTGTACGTGACAATCCCATCATACATTATATTGGGGCTTATACAAGGAGCTCTGTCCTCTGCACATATATCATTCCTTCTGAGCCTTTCGCATAAAATAACTGGATTATTTCACGAAGAGGATGATGAAGGACGCACTGCCAGAAGGACGGTCGTTATCCGAAGGGTAGCCAGGGCTTTTCAGGTAAAATTCGTAGGGTTTCTATTTTTATTAAACCTGCAAGGGATTAAATATAATACCATTTAACCTATATCACACACATCTATTAATTTAAAGAAACTAATTTAAGTTCTAATTTTACAATATCGTGTACATCTTATAATTTAAGTAGAACTATTTTAAGCAATGGTTAGAAATCAAAACCGACAAAATAAATCTTGAATTTAAATCATTTAATATTTCAAACAGTATAAACGATTGAGCATCAGTGTGGTACACATGAAGCTTAACGTGTTAAATAGTCTTGTTATTGTCGATAAGGTTCATTACTATGCTCTCACGAAATTGCAAAGAAGTTTTATTATTCGATGTGTTTTTCTTGATACCGAGTAATATGAAAACATCTGCCAGACATATGCTTATTGTAGTCAAACACACAATCGGGTTTAATTTTCAAATACAAAAATAATGTCAAATACCTAAGCCATATCGGGCAGTGTATACTATACAATACAAAAAGTTTTGATTTTATTTGCTGAAAAAATATTTACCATATACATATATAAACTAAAAATTTGTTTATACATAAACAGTATATTGCTTCAAAAATAAGATCCCAAAAAATAAGCACTTGTTGGTTGGTACAACACGCTTGCTCAGCCATTTTGTCGAGACTGTATCCATACCTTCAGAACTAAATGCGCGAAATTAAGAATTTATGGTTGATTTCCAGCCGGCTACATACGGTAATGTATGTATACCATTTTTCAAAGTAAAACACTTGCACGTCACGAATTATACAAAGTGACGTCACTTGTAATTAAAATTTTCAGATCATCAACCTAAGAGTTCAAATTTTCTTAACACAGTTAATAATACGAAACCCATACGGAACTGCTCAATCTGTCCTAGGCGTCAACATGGTGTAATAATCAGAAAAATGTAATCATCATTACATTGAAAATTTTAGAATTATGTTGATTAAATAACCAAAAATATTTGTTATTTTTAATTATGTAAATTTTATGAAATAACTATTTAAGTCTATTATTCTACAAAATAATAAGTTTAATTGAATATAATAGACAATTGTACGCCACTGATACGAAATACTTTAAATTTTATTGACAGTTAAGCGTGTGGCAAAAGTATATAAAGTGTTGCCGCTTTTTTAGAGTAGAAATTTTCTTTATGTTTTGATTTCTTACACAATTTGATCATATCTATCTATCTATACAGCCCTTAAAATCCATCCTTGGATATAGGCCTCCTCCTCCTTCTTCCATGCCTCTCTATCTTGGGCAATTTGCATCCATTTTGACCCGGCGTGTTTCTTCAGGTCATCTGACCATCGCATTTGTGGCCTTCCCCTTTTACGTTTGTGATTCCATGGTCTCCAATGTATAATTGTTTTAGTCCATCCATTTGATCATATAATATATTTTATTAAATAGTATTTATAAATACATATTAAATTTAGGTTAATAGCTTTAAAAACTAATTAATGTTGTGTATTGTGATTGTGATATGCCAAAACAAATAAATAGTCTGTAGAAAGCTGATAACCTTTTATATAACATAGATTATTTTAAACAAGAAATAATGGCGGGACTTTTTTACTATTAAAGCCCTAAAAGAGGTAAGTTTAAAATTTAGAATATATAGTTTTGTAATAAAATGTTTTCTTATGTATGTTAATGTGTTGCAGCTGTCTTAAAACTAAGTGTATTTACTGTTACTATAATAGTTTGACAAATAGTTGACATTTTAAAAATTCCTCACTAACTATTCTGATGTTTTGGCAACGCTATGGGGTTCCGACGAAGTAAATCTTGAATGACGTGCAAGCTTTTTTATATGAAAAATGCTATACAGATTAAACCCAATTAAAACGGAACATACAATTTAATACATGTCTGTTTGAACTGCATTTGAAATAGTGGACCAATATAAAACTTGGACAAAAATAAATCCATACCTGGGTATAGACATTGTATAAAATATCGTTCAACTATCTGTCTCGCAACAAAGTTGTGTGCGTAAGACGGGTTTGTCTAAGGAGGCGATAATAGTTCAGGAAATGAAGCTCGAAAAAAGTTAAAACCTCGCAATTTTTTCGTCCTACATGTATCCAATTGAAATTTTAGCAGAAGGTAGGTAATAGCCCAAGGATCAAAATCTATATCGAACCGAAGTGCGCTGAAGGGTTTTTGGGGTGAAAACTACCCCTAATTTTCAAAAATTATAAAATAACATATTAAACCTGAATATGGGTAAGATTTGGTTTGAATTAGTTAAATAATAATTATATTATACTTTTGAATAGAGTTCCATCATATTTCAACCCTTAAAAAGCAACCCTTGTTAGAGATTAATGTAAAAAATTACTAATTCTAAAAAAATGATTTCGCCTTGGATCGATTTGGATAAAAATTTGGATTTAAGCTCAATTCACACGATGCTTTATAGTTTATGTCATGTCGACGAACCCTGAATGTTCTTAGGGGTGAAAACTACCCCTAATTGTCAAAAATTATAAAATAACATATTAAACCTGAATATGGGTAAAATTTGGTTTGAATTAATTAAATAATCATAGTTTCGTGCTTTTGAATAAAGTTCCATCATATTTCAACCCTTAAAAAGCGACCCTTATTAGAGATTAATATAAAAAAATTAGTAATGCGAAGAAAATGATTTCACCTTGGAACGATTTGCATAAAAATTTGGAACTAAGCTAAACTCACCCTCTGCTTTACAGTTTATGTCATGCCGATGAACCCTGATTGTTCTTAGGGGTGAAAACTACCCCTAATTTTCAAAAATTGTAAAATAATATTACAAATCTTAAGATGAGTGAAATTTGGTTTGGATTAGTTAAATAGTGAGTTTTTTATACTTTAAAATACAAATTCATACATGTTCAACCCTTAAAAATCAATTGTTATGAGTGCTATAGGTGAAAACAATTTTTTGCCAAAATTTTGCAACTTTTCAACTTTTGAAAATCACCCTTTACAACATTGCAGTTTTATAAACTAATTTATAAGATATAAATTAAAAAAAGTAGAATTAAATACAAAAAAAATTATCAACATAAAAAGGCACCATATATTCTTATACATTTACATAAATAGTTGAAAATATTTACATTTATAGGTAAAACAATTATAATATTAATTTTATTCGTCATCAATTACATCTTCATCGTGATCTATGTCATCCTCATCTTCTTCAATTATTGGTGGACTGTTATTGCACCCTTCACCTGAGCACCCAGAACAAGTAGAGTTACAGTATAAACCAACTTTTCTGCACCCATATGAAACTCCGCATCCTTTTTTGCATTGGCAAAAAATAATTTTCAAAAATTTATCGGGTGCAGGTTGTTTGTTCATGCGTACGGGTAATAACAAACCATCTTTGTAATACCATCCCCAATCTGTTGCTCTGATATTTTCATTGTCAAGCCATAGACATATGAGAAGATGTTTTATTCTGTTGTATGGGATTTCAAAATAAGAACGCTTAAAATTTCGAATGTATAACGCCCCACTAGCTAATATACCGGTTTTGTAGATTATTATGCTCCGAAATGTGCTGTACTATACTAATGGAATTTTCCGGAAAAAAATTAACTGGTTTTTTTAACGTATTTCCTTTAATTTTTAACGATAGAGTGTTTCTTCAAAAACGATTTGTAGAGGTTTTTAATAGCTACAAGGATCTGTGAATTAAATCTTTTTGCACCCTTGGTTTTTAAATGGGGTGAGTTTAAAGGGCTCGAAAAAGATAGTGCTTGATCGTAAATCGATGCTTTAAACGTCTATATCTCCCCAAATATTCATTGTACAACAAATCTAAATAAAGGATAATTTTAGTCATTAAAAAAGCTACAATTTGGTAATTTTTATTTTTTCATATATTCAGTATTTTTGGGTATATTTAAAAAAAGAAGGGTAAAAAATATGAAATTGTAAATCGTTTCTCGCTTTAAGCTGTACTTTTTCTAAAACTAAGCATTTTAAATGGGTCAAACTTCTTGGACGTATTAACAATACATCTACAAAGGGAATTGCAGAAGGGTGAAGATCGATTTTAATTATGGGGGTGGTTAGGGTGTTGTTTTCCTCGATTTTTTCGTAAAAAATGAGGTATTGACCTTATTTTTTTATGATAGGTCTATTTATGCTCTTTAAAAAAGGTTTTGTGAGTTTTCTTCCAAAAATGCATCATTTTCCCGATATTTGACTTTGAATCTTTCAAATTTGGCATTTAAAGAAAACCGCTGAACATTGATATTGTATTTGTAATTGTATTTGTCTTTTGAAAAGCTACAAATTTGTTTTCTACAATTTTTTTGATAAAATGCACCATTTTCGAGTTATTCGCGAAAAATCGATTAAAAACGTGGATTTTTTCGTCTAAAAGTTGTTACTTTCAATCGCGAATAACTTGAAAAATATCATTTTATAAAAAAATGTATAGCACATTTTTTGTTTAGAATCACTTTCTAATCGAAACCTGTAGTTAAAACGTAAAAAAAAATTTCACCCCGGAGATGGGGTGGCAACCACCCCCTAGGCTTTGGCGCACTTTGGTTCGATATAGATTTTGATCCTTAGGCTATTACCTACCTTCTGTTAAATTTCAAGTCAATCCACGCCGCACGAAAAAATTGCGAGGTGAAATGCTACATTTCCTGGACTATAACTGGTTTGACAGCATAATAAAATCGTAGATTTATGTGTAGCTTTCAATTTTTATGAGTTCAGAATCCAGCAGCCCGCTGAAGTATGGGATTTTTTATAATATAATTATTTGACAATCTTTTGTGGGCCAACCACCTACACCAGAATTGAGCCGAAATACATTATATTCCTATGTTCCGAATTTATTTCGTTCAATCTGTATACTCAACTATGCAGTGTAAAGAACTGGGTTGCAAATTTCTATGTTCCATACCTTCAACTTTCATTTTTTACGGCAAGTTTCGGATGTGTTTTAAATTTATCTTGTCAACA